GTGTATTTTCTAGTTGGTGTTTGGTCTTGCCAAGATGCAGGTTCTGCTTGTTACTTTAACACTCTTTCTACATTCTCAAGCAATCAGCAGTTTCCTCAGGACTCCCACCTATGACAGAAAGCAAAATTAGTCTTGTTACTTACATTTTAAAGCTTGCCTGAAATTTCTAGCCTTGTTTCTTTTGGGACTGTCTTTAATCATTGCAGTTGTGTAGTCAGTCATTTGTGGGATGCGAATGAAAAGATGTGGGGGAAACATATCATAGTTATGGCCATATTTCCATGCTATAGAAGATAGAGATGGGGAAGTAGGTAAGTCTGTCATTGTCACATAAATTGTCATTGGGAAGTCTGATGACTCATCACCTTCAAGATTATAATAGATGCCATGGGCTTAAAATGCAGATGATCTGGGGGAGGCATTGGTGCGCACAGCCATAGGTCCATTCTTGAAGCTTGCCTCAAGGCAGTGATGTTGCCATATGGAACATTGATGTATCTCAACACATTACCTAGGGAATCAGATTCATTGTAACAGATTCTGGGTGAGATGTGGGATGTGAGTATTTATAAATGGCTGCAGATGACTTCCTAAGCACACAGATGCTGGAGTAAAAATAAGCTCAAGAGACACAATGCAGCAAAAGCAAACTTGCTTAAGTTCTCTCAGTATTCTTCTTTAAGAACGCCAAAGCGGTTCTGATGGACAGAAGAGACCAAAGTATCTATTCCCCAACCTGGTGCTCTCCCAATGTTTGATAGGGCTACTGCTGAGAAATCTGGGATTTCAAGTCTTCATGTTTGGAAGACAAGAGCATTGAGGAAAGAAAAGCTGATATAGATAGTAGCAGGCCTATGCAAAAGCAGTTCCTACTTATTTCAATGAGATTTTGCTGATAGATTTACTAGACTTATTAAATTTAGTAATTGATAGACTTTTTTTTAAAATAGAGGATGAAAGGGAGTTATTTATCTCCTGTTGGGACCATGGAAGAGTGCTCAGGCTAATTCCAGGGTCAAAATCCATTTCTTCATGTGTTGGAGATTGATTGATTGATTGATTGATTGATTGATTGATTTAGGGATTGAGAAAGTTTTGAATGAAGATTCAGAATTTTCTCTGACCTTCCACAGCATGCCACTCAGATTACACAGTTTGCCTTTACTAGCCTCATAAGAACTGTGACATCAGAGAAGTGAAAACGTTGGCAATTTCTGCAGTTAGGGGACGGCCTCCATGGTTGGACTTGTATTTCATCCTTCTCTTTCTTCACCCTTGGAAAAGGGACAGAATTGGTAGCAAATACAAAAGTATAAGACCAAAGGACAGAGGAGTTGAGGAAAAGAAGAACCAAGGTGTATTAACTTTTTTTCTGCTATAATGATTTCTTTCCCAAGCTTAGGTTATTGTGCTATGAACCATTGTGATTTCTGTCTGTCTTTGCAGAAGGAGAATATTTCCACTTGAACTCCAGAGAATAGGAAATGAAATTCACAGGATTAGATTTATCTGCAAAACAGTATCATATGGAAATGACCAACATCATCTGAACAAGCTTATCTTTGATCAATCGTGCCTGGTTTCACCTCTTCAGTTCAGTTCACAAAATCTCCAGACATTATATAGCTTAATAAAGTGGAAAGGAGATATTTCTTTAACCAAAGCAGGTCCCCAAGGGTTTAGGGCTGAGTGTACTAGAGGCTGTGCTGGTGAAGATGGGGAAGGAGAAGAAGAAAAGAGTGGTTTCCCATTGGGTGAATTAAAGTTTATCTTTTATACCCAGGAGAACAGCTTATATAGATTTTCTGCCATTGAAAATATGCATGGTTGAGACAAAGTGCTAAAACTGGGGCAGGGAAATTGCCAAGTGAAGATAAATAGTAGTCTGTTCTTGACCCTTTCTGGCAAATATGCCTAAAAAGGATAGCATTCATGCACTCCACATCATACAAGGAAGTTTTCTGTTCCCTAAACTGATGTTCTCCAGATGCATTGGGAATACAGTCAGCTGATTTCCCAGCCCTCTTGGTCATTCACTGTGTTGCCAGGGAATTCTGGGACTTACACTCTTCCACCAACTGAAGGACGGGGTTATACTGGTTGGCAGTTCTGAGAAATATATTTCTAACACATCTGGAAAAGATCAGGTTGAGAAAGGCTGTGTTGGGAGTCTGTCATTATCCTACTGCATTATGCTGAAAATCCAAAATGTTGCACAAGGACTTCTTTTATTTGGAAATGTTTGTTTCAATATACTGCCCTTCAGCAGAACTCTTGGGTCAGTTTACAAGAACAGACTAAAACATACTAATGTGCAAAGATAACTCTGTTTGCACAACATGCTGAGCCCTCAATCTGCTGGTTCCCTAATGCAGTGTATAAACCAAGCTTGTGTGATTAGCTTATGGTTAGCATGAACCCAGGCACTGGGATTGGCAAACTCTTGCTTATGGATTAATATGATTAGTGAACTCAACTCCTGTGGCTTATTCAACAGAAATAAATTATGGCTAATTCAGTAGACCATGATTAAAACTGAATGAATGTAGCCATCCTATGGCTGTGTTTAGAGATCCGACAATCTAGCAGCATCATGGTTAATAATGGTTAATTTAATAATGGAAAAGTATATTATGTGAAGAAGGCCGATCAAATGATATATTTCAAAGCAAGGAAGAATATTTTTGCTCGGTACAATGAAGATAATAGTGTTGGTATGAGGTAGGCCACTCTGAGTTGGGCTCCACCACTAAGAATGCTCTGGTTTGGTCATATCTACTTTATTTGGGATGGTTGGGACCCTTGGAAGAGATTCTTTAAAGGTGACTCTAGTCCATGTGCAGATTGACAGGGAAGCAAGCTTTCAGATGCCTAAGCAAAGTGCTAGAGAGAAAGCCCTAAGCCTTTACCTTGAAAGACATACTGCTTGCTTTTTGAATTGATCAGATCTTCGAGGGCTACCTTAAATGTGGCCAGAAGATAGATAAATGTGGCCGTACCGTGTCAGCTCAGGAGAAGCTGCAGTTCCCATGCCCCAATGAAAGGCCATCCCTTGTATCAAAGCTGCCTCTAGAACAGTGTTGTCCAAACTTGGCCACTTTAAGATGAGTGGACTTCAACTCCCAGAATTCCCCCGCCCACATAGGCGGGGGGGGGGATTTGTGGGGTGTGAAGCAATTCAATTTTAAAAGGCCAAGGTGGTTAGAACAAGCGTAGTAAAAAAATATCATT